CTATTTCTGCTTACAAATCTCCCATAATATCTTTCAAGCCAAGAGGTTGGAGCGGCTTTAAATGAATGTGGGCCGTGCTGTGCCTGAGAGCAACAACTCCCTTGGGACAAAGTTTGGTCTTACCCTACAGCTAAGTTAGCCCTATCTGATCCCATTCCACTCTGCTTAATCACAGTGACAGGCTGCTCAGGAGGGTGCAGCATGCTACTTGCTGAGCCCACTTGGATTAGGCCTATAAATGGCTGGAGAGCCACAGAATCTTCAGAATTTCAATGTAGGAGGGGCTCAGGTAGGGCAATCTTGTTAGAAGGGGGTGGAACTTAAAGTTTCATTTGCCTAGGAATTACATGGTCTAGAAAACGTCATTATACAAATCAAAAATGGGGGGCAGGAGGGTCATACACGATGCCAGCCCCCCTCCCCTGCCTCCTGGCTTCCTCTTGACACTGCTAGAGACGAAGGAAGCAGGGCACAAACAGCACGGACAGATCCTCTTGCACGTGACACTACTTTTCCTCAAGAAAACATGGAGCATTTACACATTTTCTCTAAGGGTCCCCCTAGATTACCCAGTAACATCTCCATCATTGTCTCAAGTGATTGGTATAGGAAACAACATTCTACCAGCAAGTTGGCTGAAAGTGCCCTAGAAACTTTCTGCCTGAACATAGAATCATTTGAAGCTGGACCTTAACTTTAGAGGGATCCAGTCAGCTTAGACAGCTCCTTGTTATATGTGCAGATTATGTTTATGCAGGACTCCAAGTTCATGGAAAGAACGTTCATTTGACTTAAAAAAAATGTAGAGTAGCCCCCGCTCACCGCAACTAGAGAAAGCCCGCACGCAGCAACAAAGACCCAATGCAGCCAAAAATAAATAAATAAATAAATAAATAAATAAATAAAATTTTTAAAAAGCTTTAAAAAATATAAATAAATAAAAGTATTTCCTCACACTAAAACTGAACACATTGGAGGGCAGGATGGGAAATATTCTTCTCAAGCCATAGACTAAACTGCTAAGAAACAATCCTGATATTAAACCAAATGGCTAATTTTTCTGATTCAGATGCAAAACTGAGAAGCAAGCTCAGGAAGGGAGAATGAAGGCACCTGAGGCTAAATGACAGCCCTACTGAAGCTGTGCAGGTCCCAGGGCACCAGTTTCCCCCAGCAGGCCACAGAACCTGCTTTGTGCCTAGTAGGAAACACCATTTTATTTCACTTAGTCTTATGTGTTCATATGTAACAAGCTTCTTCTATAGATATGTAAGCACCTTAGTCTTTATTTTATAGTCTATGTTTTTAAGTATTTTGCATTATAAGTAATCTTCATAAGTACTTAAAAATCTAAACTGTGTAACAAGTTACAGGATGATGTATTACAAAGCAAAATTTATTTTTAAAAGGATTTACTGGGACTTTCCTGGTGGCTCAGTGGTTAAGAATCCACCTGCCAATGCAGGGGACATGGGTTCGAGCCCTGGTCTGGGAAGATCCCACATGCTGCGGAGCAACTAAGCCCATGCGCCGCAACTGCTGAGCCTGCGCTCTGGTGACCTCGAGCCACAAGTGCTGAGCCCACGTGCCACAACTGCTGGAGCCTGCGTGCCTGGAGACGGTGCTCTGCAACAGGAGAGGCCGCCACAGTGAGAGGCCCGAGCACCGCAACGAGGAGTGGCCCCTGCTCTCTGCAACTAGAGAAAGCCTGTGAGCAGCCACGAAGACCCAACACAGCGAAAAATAAATAAATTAATTAATTTTTTAAAAAAAGAGATTTACTTCATGTAGCATAATCCCTAGAGCATTTTAAATTGTTAATCTGAATTACAAATTCAGTATCTACATTATAGAAACCAATATAAATTCAATTTTATCACAAACTTATATACAGCTTTTGAAAAAGTTATGTAATATAAGTCTAAAATAAACTATCATTAAGTAGAAGAAGGAGGAAAGAAAAAAATGACTTTTTAAAAATGAGAACGTTGGAATTTATTTTTTTAATAAAAGATTAGATTTTAAAAGATGCTAATAAGACAATCTTTTAAAAAACCAAGGTAAAAGACTTATAAAGCAATAATTAATCACAATTAATAAAAATATTTTAACATTTAAGAATGAATTTCTGGACACAGAAACTGAAGGTATTAGGAAGTTATACTTTATTTCTTGAACCCTGGTTTTGAAAAATTATTCAACATTTTTTTTCAAGAAACACAAGTACAAAATCTGAATAATGGTGGGAGTTCAAATCAATGAAGTGCCACAACATAATTAACCTTCATTTCACAGATGGGAAGACGGGCAGAAATGGAGTAGAGAAGTGAGTCAGTAGTAGTTACTCAACTAAATGAAAGCAATCTAATGCCTTAACACCCAGGATCACAGATGTTAGAATTGCCACAGATCTTAGATGTCAGGGGTCCAGCCCTTTTTTATACCGTTGATCAGTATGCATATATCTCATAAATTGATGATTTTGGAGGACACATGCTGGCAGTTCTTAATCTTTCTAAGGTCAGAAGGATGTGATGAAAGAAGCTAAATCAAGAATCGGTGCACAAGCTATCACCTGTGCAAGTTCATGTCTGCTTCATTTCTAGCTCATCCTGCATATCCACATCCTTGCTGAACTTATTGGAAATTTCCTCACTGGATTCCACTACGGTGGTGCCACCTGAGTTCTCATAGTGTTTCCTTTTCCTTTTCCTTCAGTTTCAGGGAAATAAATTGTGCATTGGTTTTCCAAGGATTGGCTGAGCTGAATCACATGAACATGTGTTCTATTTCAGATGTGTTTGAAATTGGGCTTAATGCCTTCTGACATTTCTCTAGGGACTTCTAGGTTTCTTTTCTTTGCACACTTCTTGAGACCCAGTGTTCTGCTAACTCTCAGGTTCCTTTCCTGCACTCAGATTGTTGGCTTCAGTTACACTGAGAACAGATTAGCACGTTCAAAAACTCTCTCCTTGGAATTGATCTGTGTTTGAAAAAGGTGGGGCTTGAAGTCACCTGAAAGAGTACTTTTCATTCTCATCCTTGTATATTTTATTTACCTCAGTGGAAAACATTTTTTCTTTTTATCTTTCAAGGTGACCCAAAAGCATACAAAACTGGGTCTCCAGGAAGTATAGATGTGTCCTCTAGTGAACTACCCAAACTCACTCTCGTTTTTCTCTTTCTGACTTACTTCACTTTGTACGACAGACTCTAGGTCCATCCACCTCACTACAAATAACTCAATTTTGTTTCTTTTTATGGCTGAGTAATATTCCATTGTATATATGTGCCACATCTTCTTTATCCATTCATCTGTCGATGGACACTTAGGTTGCTTCCATGTCCTGGCTATTGTAAATAGAGCTGCAATGAACATTGTGGTACATGACTCTTTTTGAATTATGGTTTTCTCAGGGTACATATCCAGTAGAGGGATAGTCTGTCATACAGAGTGAAGTAAGTCAGAAAGAGAAAAACAGATACCGTATGCTAACGCATATATATGGAATCTAAAAAAGCGGTACTGATGGACCTAGTGGCAGGGCAGGAATAAAGATGCAGACGTAGAGAACAGACTTGAGGACACGGTGGGGAAGGGGAAGCTGGGATGAAGTGAGAGACTAGCATTGACATATATACACTACCAAATGTGAAATAGATGGCTAGTGGGAAGCTGCTGCATAGCACAGGGAGATCAGCTTGGTGCTTTGTGACCACCTAGAGGGATGGGATAGGGAGGGTGGGAGGGAGACGCAAGAGGGAGGGGATATGGGGATATATGTATACATATAGCTGATGCACTTTGTTGTACAGCAGAAACTAACACAACATTGTAAAGCAATTATACTCCAATAAAGATGTGAAAAAAAAGTAAAAACATCAGGACTATGTAGTCATTAAAAAGAATGAGCTCTAAGTGTTCTAAGATTTGATGCTTATGAGTGGAAAAGCAAGTTGCAACAGTAAGTATGTGATTCCATTTAAAATCTTTACACATATTTGCCTGTAAAAGGCATGGAATGACACACAGTGGCTGACTAAATAGTGGGATTGTGGTGTGTAGAGAGGGTGAGGAAGGGGATTTACCCTTTCTTTAAAAAATCATTTCTGGGGGCTTCCCTGGTGGCGCAGTGGTTGAGAATCCACCTGCCGATGCAGGGGACACGGGTTCGTGCCCCGCTCCAGGAGGATCCCACATGCCGCGGGGCGGCTGGGCCCGTGAGCCATGGCCGCTGGGCCTGCGCGTCCGGAGCCTGTGCTCCGCAACGGGAGAGGCCACAGCAGTGAGGGACCCGCGTACCACAAAAAAAAAAAAAAAAATCATTTCTGAATTGTCTGGGTTTTTCACGGAGTGTGTAGTTAAATTAAATTCTTAAATATTAATTAGGAGACATCACACATGTTCACCAAGAATCCTTATCAATCTTTACTGCATTTGGAGACTGTTAAATTCTTGGTTTGACTGGGTCCATGCAGAGTTCAATTCCTTCACCAGACATTCCTTGAATATCAGGTTCTTTGCTGGGTACCAGGCTACCAAGATGATTAATACCTGGTCCATGACAGAATGGGAATCTGCCCCAGAATGCAGATAAGAGGAACAGCGAATTTGGTAAAAATTGACACTGTCATTACTAGGGATACATCAGCTCCCTCACTTGATTCATAACTAGCCTTCTGTAGGCTTCATCTTTCGGCAGCGCAATTGGCAGACGTCATCCTCTCATTGTTAAAAGTCAAATTTAGGATTAAGACTCCACTTAATACCGCTGAGCTCGAGGTGTCCTTGGGGAAGGAGAAGTCCCCTGAATATACCCACTCTGGTACCCAGAATAGATTTTGCAGCTGCACACAGATCCTGTCTTGTCTGTTGTCTCTGCTGAGTAATGTAGATTCTGGGACAGCAAAGGGGCAGCTGGTGACTTTGAACCAAATTTTACCTTTCAACCGAATCCAGGGAAATAATTTGCAACAAAGGGCAGACGATGCAAAGTGCTATGTTGAACGCTAGATTGTGCTTTATTTTTTCCTCCCAACTTTACGGTTCCATGCACCAAAATGTTGATGCTACAAATATTGGATACCACGCTTACCTGACAGGCTTCTTCCATCCCACCTGGGCGCGGGGGCTCAGAGCGAGCGCGCGAACCGCGGCTGGAGCCCGTCTCTCGCGGCCAGAGCGGGCTCGGCCGGCCGCGGGTTCCCCTACTGGCCCCTGTGCCCGAGCCGCTCCGCCGCCTGGGCTCCCGCAGTCAGCTCCCGCCGCGCACGCGCACTCCCCCTCTGGCGGCCTCGGCGCCTCCGGTCTTCGGCAAGGCTGCGACTGGACTGCTCCAACGGGCGGGGCGGGGCGGGGCGGGGCGGGGCGGGGGCGAGAGCTCTCGGCCACGTGACCGACGCCAACATGGCGGCGCCCAGGGGCGTCCACCTGTTCGTCAGTAGAGGTAAGCACCTGGAGGACAGCCCCGCGGGGCTTCTCACTGTCGCTCACTGGCTACGCAAGTCTGGTTCAAAGGAATACACATCCGCGATCAGACATCTCGGCACACACGAATGTGCTTTCATTTCTGCGGACACACGCAGATACACGATGACACATTGCCACAGGAACATACCCACAGGTGTTCATTTGTCACTTGCCTAGATCACGTCACTGCGTGGCATCTATTTGCAGTCCCTCCTTGAGATTTATGGGACATTGTCTGAGGTTTTCTTCGCCCACGTCAGTTGTGTTATTGCTGTAGCAAACTCTTTTATTCCTGGGGCGGAGCGATGAACCTACAGTAACTGAAATGCGCCTGGACCCCCAGTTGCCGCAGAGAAAGCAACTTGTATCCGTTGGCATGGTACAACACGTCTTTTGGGGAACTTGCAAAATGTGATTATTCTCTTCCATTGACTTAAAGTTAAGAAGAGGAGAAATTTTGTCTGGCTAGCTTTCAGTAGGTGTTACTCTTGTGTGAGTGGTGAGATTTTAGTAAATGTGCAAATACTTTTGCTGGTGAATCTTTGTTGGATTTGAACCGGTTTCTGAATCTTTGTTGGAAAGAACTAGGAAGTTGTTTCAAGGATGGGGGAAGAAGGAAATTAAAATATTTTCAAGGGCTATTTAGGTTTCAGGCATGTAGGAACAACAGTCCTATGAGGCAAATGTTATTTTCACAGTAAATAGCTACCGTTTATTAAGTGCTTTTGAAGTACATGATACTGTGTTAAGCACCTAACATATGCTAGCTACCTTTTAAAACCCAGTGAGTTAGGCATTATTCTCTGCTGATGAGAAAAGTGAGACAAAGGTTAAGTAATAAGACTAAGATTTTACAGATTGTAAGAGGCAAAATGGGCATTTGAACATAGCACTGATTTTCTTTTTTTTTTTTTTTAAGTGCTCATTCCTCTGCCCTGCATGGCATGGTCTCTTCACAGAAATCAGTGTGCAAAGTTCAGATGAGACAGGACAAGTATGATGAGCATGTGTGAGAAGTAAAGAGGAAGATGTTTTTAGAGAGGAAGGAGGTTGGTAGGCAGATAGACCTCAGTCTTTCAGTGTAATACAGTGTTAGTGGAGATGACTAAGGAGCCACAGGAAGATATGAGGTGAGAGATGTGTAAAGGGAAGGTGATGTAGGCAGTATTTTGGACTGGTTGGAAGGGAGAGTGGAGGCCAGTGTGAGAGTACAGCCTTGTGAAAAGAGCACCAATTTACATCTCTTAAGATCTGAGTTCCAATCCAAACTCTGTTTACTAATCAAGTTACTTTTTTTCTGTTTCCTCCTTTGACAAGAAATAATGGCGTTTAGACTTCTTTTTTGTGCACTGCAGGTAATGGTGAAGAGGATCTGGGCAGATAGTCAAGGTAGAGGAGGAGCCAAAACACACACACACACACGTGTTATATACACACACATATATGTATGCATATGTATATAATCTCTTTGCAGAGTATAGAAATAACATTCATCTTTTTTTTTTTTTTTTTTCGGTACGCGGGCCTCTCACTGTTGTGGCCTCTCCTGTTGCGGAGCACAGACGCTCAGGCTCAGCGGCCATGGCTCACGGGCCCAGCCGCTCTGAGGCATGTGGGATCTTCCCGGACCGGGGCACGAACCCGTGTCCCCTGCATCGGCAGGCAGACTCTCAACCACTGCGCCACCAGGGAAGCCCCATATTCATCTTTTTTGTCACTTATGATTTTGACAAATGGTGGTTCAGACAGTCTTGGAAAAAGCTATTACAGAAATAGCTATAGTAACCCATCCCACTCTACCCCACAAGAGGGTTATCTTCTGACTAGAGGAGGGGGATCTTCTGATTAGAAGAGGGAGGGAAAATATGTCATCAGGAAGAGATTTAGTGATAGGGAAAGGCCCCTTTATGGGCTATTCATAATTACTTTTATTATGCATTGCAGACAGGTTGTCCTATACCACCTGCTCTCTGCCCCCCAGGGTTGAAAATGAAGGGTAAATTTATGAAGGGTCCTCTCTTTTCTCTCTTCCTCCTTTTCACCCTTTTAGATTGATGTAAATTAATCCACTATAAGGCTTTATGTGCCAGGATTTATCATCAGCATCTATGTGCACCTTTCCCTCTTGGAAAATGGGAAGAAGAGATTTTTTTAAAAAATTATTTATTTTTGGCTGTGTTGGATCTTCGTTGCTGCGCGTGAGCTTTCTCTAGTTGTGGTGAGCAGGGGCTACTCTTCATTGTGGTGCGCGGGCTTCTCATTGCAGTGGCTTCTCTTGTTGTGGAGCAAGGGCTCTAGGCGCGTGGGCTTCAGTAGTTGTGGCATGCAGGCTCAGTAGTTGTGGCTCGCAGGCTCTTGAGCAGAGGGTCTGTAGTTGTGGCGCACGGGCTTAGTTGCTCCGCGGCATGTGGGATCTTTCCGGACCAGGGATCGAACCCATGTCCCCTGCATTGGCAGGCAGATTCTTAACCACTGTGCCACCAGGGAAGTCCCAGAAGAGATTTTTTAACCTCTTAAGAAGGGCGTAAGGTTTCTCTCATGACTCTCCAGCTCATTGTAGGTTTAATCACAGTACACCCTCTGTATAGTAGTTACCTACTTCCTCTCTCCATCCCCACTCCTAACTAGATTGTTAATTCTTGTTGAGCAGGAACTGTGTCTTATCTATATGTCTATCTTAATAAGCACAGTACCTGGCTCAAGAGCTTACTGAATTGAGAGGCTGTTAAGACTTGTTCTCTTCTGAGGAATTCCCTGGTGGTCCATTGGTTAGGACTGGGTGCTTTCACTGCCAAGGGCATGGGTTCAGTCCCTGGTCAGGGAATTAAGATCCTGCTTAAGATCCCGCAAGCCCTGCAGCTTGGCCAAATTTGTTCTGTTCTATCATGGGCTAAGGGATGGGTGGAAACTATAAGTAGTGACATTGGAAAGGGGAAAGGATGGATTAGTCTCTTGGAAGGTAGAGAGAAGGTAACAAGAGCCTTTTAGGGATGAAGGTACTCCTGATATTAGCACTGACACTAAATCCCTCATCACAGTGCAAAATCCCTACCCTGGGACCTCAGGAGCTCTCTCCTTGCTTAATCTCTCACTCCCAGTTCCCACTTTATTAGAATCTTTGTTCCAGCTCTCGAAGCTGGCACATAAGATCCTTTGCCCAGTGAGTATGGGAAGGAATGGTGAAGGCAAAGAAGGGGGCACATTTTCTCTTTTACACTCTTGTTCCTTTTATGAGCCAGTCTCTCCTGGCTTGCCTCCTGTTTCTCTGATTTTCCCAGACTTCCACTAGGCTCTTCTACTTCTAGGTTTTTAAATATTAGTGTTCCCCAGGATTCTGTTCTAAGCCCTCATCCCTGTTTCCTCTCTTTGTTGTCAGCAATCAAATTTACCTTCCTCAGTGACTGTCAAATCTATACAGTTTTTAAAAATCAACAGAGTATCCCCTGGAACTGAGCACCAGGTCTGAATGCCAGCTCTCTGTTAGGTATCTTTTCGTAGATGTCTTACAGGCCCTTTAAGCTCAACAAGTCCGATATGGAAATGAATATTTTCCTGCACATCTGCTTCTCCGCATATATGCTCTGTCTCCGTTAATGGCATCGCCGTCCAGGCAGTACCTAAGTGTAAGTATTTAAGGGCTTTTGGTCTCCACCACTGCCTTCAGTGTCTGTGTCCAGTGAGTCAGTAAATCCCATTTCTTGGATGCCTCCGGTTTCCTGCATGGTCTGGGTATAATTCTTTACCATCCCTTGTAACTGGTCTGCACCTCAGCCCACCTTCTTCCCCACAACCAGCTGTCTTTCTAAAATTCAGATCTGATTATTATGCTTCCCTACTAAAAACAACCTCTGGGCACGCTTCATTGCTGGGATAGTCTGAATCCCTCAGCATCGAAGGATAGCACCAGCTCAGTCTGGCCTCAGTTTACCTTTTCAGCCTTAGGTCCTGCCAGTTTTCTAACCTCATATCTCTGCTAAGGTTTGCCATTGTGTACCTCCTTAATTGCTTTCCTGCAATGTCTTTTTTCACCCAGCAAACCATTCATCCTTCAAGGCCACACTTAAATGCTGTCTCTCCTTTGAAGCTGTATTTACCTCTGCCCAGGCTAAACTAACCCAGTCTGCTTACATAGCACTCAGGGCATGCCTTTATCACAACGCTTATTACCCTGTATCAGAGTATGCACACTTATCTGAAAAGTATTTGTTTACACCTCCATCTCCCTTGCTAGAATGGGAGCTTCTTAGAGACAAGAATCTTATATTCTGCATCTCTGTCTTCCCAAAACATGGCGTACAATGTGTGCACATAGTAAGTACTCAGTTTCATAACCAAATGAAAGACCTTTCAGACTGCAACCTCCTGTAGAAACATTTGTTCACAAAAATTATATGGTAGGCCTAAAGAATAATTTATCTCAAAATGTCAGTTTTTGTCATATGACCGGCCTAGTTACTGACTTTATTCCCTGCCCCCACCCCCTTTTATAGTCCATCTCCCTCCAAGATTAATTTAAGGCAGTGTTACTTCTGTATACCTTTTTGGGCAACTGTGAGAATTCCAGGTAATTTGAGTTGTGAGTCAGACTTACTGGAGATAATTAGAAAAAAAGAGGTTGGGAGGGGGAAGGGAAGAACTCTAAAAGAGAAGTGCGTAAGGCTTAAGCAGTGTAGTCATGGGAGAGATGAAGGAAGCTGATGGAAGTAAACCCTTGGACCTAATCCCTATCCTGCTGTCCTTCCACAGTCCATGTGGAGGGAACTGATGCCAGTGAGAGGAGAGGGGGCAGATTGTGGGCAAGTCCAGCAGAAATTCTAAGAAAGGCACAGTTGGTGGGTGTGTGAAATAGTTTGGCTTTTCCAGAGGGCTGTGTGGCAATGTGTATCAAGGTGTAAGGTATACATACTTTTTACCTAACAATTCTGCTTTTAGGAGTTTATCCTGAGAGAACAATAGGATGAGTGTACAAAGATGGAT